ATAGTGAGTTTCTTACATTTACAACATCATGACTAGGCAAGTTTCTCATAGTAGATTTATACGATATGTTATGCTTACATCCCAACTATTTCAATAGTTATCTTTGTGGAGCTATTTCTTCTTCGGTTCTTCCTTAGATCCCCAAGTCATCCATAATAGGCGTATACATTCTTAGATTGTGCGTACCTCTTTCGTTTTATTGCCCTAGCTTCATTTGTTATCCTTTTGTCCTGTTTATTGCATATTATTTGTTCTCCATTTTTATGCTTTCGAGTCAGCTGGTCAGCATTGTTCTTATAACTGCATTGCGTTAATAACAGCTCACAAGAGACCAACGGAGCAGAACTTATTTGGTATTGTACAAGGTGGCTTAGATCCTGTACTAAGGTGAACTTCAACTGAACCTGTAATCTTCCTGCATTATGTTGATCGTTTAGTGCATTTCTTTGTTATTACTCTGTTCCTTATACTAATAATATCTCTGTAACAACTAACAAATTGCTTTATGCCATGACTTGTGAACAGAGATATATGTGTTAAGGGCTTGGTGAATCGAAATTTACCCGGGTATGTGCTCTTTGGTGGCTGATTTGTTCTAGGTTGCTTTATCCAACACATTGATATCCCATTCTAGTTTTTGAAGTTAACCAGTAACAATAATTGTTGAATTTGTATCATAGCTTATAATAAAGGGATTGGCGACAATACTTACATGTATTTAATTTAATCACCATCTGATGGTCAGGTATAATTCATGTGAATATATGTATTTAATACAATCATCATTTGACCGTAGGGTGGTGATTGTATTGAATACATGCAGTTATTAATTTTGCATATTTAAAATTAATAAATATTCTTCATATTTAAAATTTTTGATCATTTATGTTAGTCTTTTAGAAAGCTAAAGCTTATTAATTATATTTTGGAGTGTACTTCAAGTGTGGAAGAAAAAAATTTAAAACTCTTCTTTTCCTTCCAACGAGAAAAAGAACTTTTCTGTATAATTCCTTAATTTCAACTTTATTGGTTCAAACTCTCTGCGGAATTAGCAACTTGTTTTCACTTGTTTTAATAGTTAATGGGATTTGGAAAATTTTCCACTGAAGGGAAAATTTTGTAATTCTACACATGCACTTCTGTTTCATATTGGTGGCGTGGGTAACTACTGATAGCAACTGAAGTTTTCTTGTTGACAGAGTTTTCTTCTGTGACAGCTATGCTATTGGCGGTCTTGCTGGCGGTGAAAGTAAGGATTCATTTTGGCGTGTGGTTGCACAGTGCACTGCTGCATTGCCTGAGGAGAAACCACGATATGTTATGGTGCTGTAGACTAGTCATTTTTACTACTTTCCTTTAGGTCTTTCTTTTATGTTTCCTAAGTCGTGATATTTATTTCACATCTTTCAGGGTGTTGGTTATCCGCTGGATATTGTTGTTTGCAGTGCTCTAGGTGCTGACATGTATGACTGTGTTTATCCTACACGTACTGCTCGCTTTGGTACAGCTCTTGCACCCGAGGTGATTACTTAAACATTGTGATCTACATGTTTACATTTTTATTGGATATATTTATGTATTCCGTCTGACTGGAGTAATTGGTTATCGTCATAAGTAGCTAATCCTGAACCATTACATCTATGATTAAAATAGTCCTTTCATCAGGATGAATAGTTATTTATTTTAGTTGCTTACTAGAGAGAATGAGTACAACCAAAAAATTAATTATTTATTTTAGGTGCTTACAAGAGCCCCTCTATGCGTGTGTGTATGTGTACTAAAGATTTTTACATGAACGATTTATATATTTGAACACTTCAATAATAACCGTTGGATTGCTGATGCCATCAAGTTTGCATCTAAGTGTGGTTGTTTGGTCAGGATTATTAGTTTGAACTCTGAACTTCATATATCATTGTTGTTTCTTTCTTAATTAGAATGGGTGAATAATTCCTTATTAGATACAAATTTTGATTTTGCATGGATGCTTGCTTCTTGTTCTATCAGCTAAAGCTAATTGTTCTCCTAAAATTTGTTATTATATGAATGTGACAAATACGCTTACTTCTTTTTCTTCTGAACGAACTTTGTACTTTATAGTGCTCATGCTTGAAACAAGTTGGTGTTTTTTCAAAGCTTTCCAGCTACTGTTTCATGTTTGCTAATGCACTTAGAACTGTGTCATGCAACGTTCATGCGGATATTGCCAATCAAGTGTACTTTTATTAGGCGCCTCTATACGGTATAAAGGGGACTAAATTTTCTGTTGATATGTGGATGCATAGCTCAACCGTAGGAAAAATATCTTATGTGATGTTTATTTCAGGGAGTGCTGAAACTCAAACACAAAGCGATGGCTGAAGATACCCGTCCTGTTGATCCTACATGTGATTGTATGGTACGTATAAATGGGCCAATCTTTTGCGTGAAATACTAATGCAGAAGTTGATGAAGGATGCATAACTGCTTCTTTCAATTTCTCCAAATGTAGGTCTGCAAAAATTATACTAGAGCTTACATTCATTGCCTGGTTACAAAAGATGCTATGGGATCTCAGCTTCTGTCATATCACAATTTATATTACATGATGAAGGTTAGAACACAAAGGTACTTATAGTTTATTTTCCCATTTATTTTTTCATATACAATATATAACTAAAACTATCCCACCTGCTATTGTTTCCCTTTTTAAATGCAGCTGAGTAGAAATCTGCACTCTTCAATAATCGAGGGAAGGTTTCCAGAGTATGTTTGCCTTTGCTTTACCCTTCTCAACCGTAGTCTTTATTTGTTGTGTAATATACTTACCGTCATTAATTTTATTATTTGTCGAAGTTATTTCCCCGGCAAGATGTTAATATGCATAACTGTCATTTGGACTATAATATTTTTTTTTTTCAATTGAATTTCTCACTTGTTCTTCTTGTTGCTAGTGTAACCCTTCTATATTTTTTTTTTACTTTTTTTTGTGTGCAGGTTTGTATGCAAATTTCTGCAACAAATGGTAGTTTCTTTAGACGCCCTTCATCTTTTTATATCCGCTTGTCCAAATTTTCACTCTCCCTCTCTCTCTCTCTCTCTGTCTCAACATATTCCCGGTGCACCCAACATTTAGCATTCATGTAATCATCTTCGAGGAGAAGTTGAAAATTATATATTTGATAAACGATAATGTAATTAGCCAAATTATTGTAATCTCCATATAATGTTTCTAACAAAAATCGAATGTTCTTGTGAATAATCTTAAAAGGAAAAGTTAAAAAACTATATATTGCACCAACCATTTTCAGAATCACTACTCTCTTCTAGTTGGCTACTATGCCATTTGCTATTGGTATAAAACGATTGTGTATACAACGATTCTCTCGTTTCTTCTCTGTTATTGTTTGCTTAGAGAGCCTTGTGCATTTGTTTCCCCTCTGTGCAATACCTACCACATAGCTTTGAAATGTGTCACATCTTATTGTCTTGTAGTTTCCGAAAGGTGATGTGCCCGAGTGGGTGTGTGATGCCATGGAGGTTGCTGGAATCGATATTTCTTCCTGCTGCACTCCATTTTCATCGTCCCAAGATTAGAAGTAGGAATTTACAGCGCACACAGGTTCGGCTTAATCAAATTTTGCTAGAGAAGAGGTTGACATAGAAGAAAGGTAAACTAGGTAAGGGAGGCGTAAAATTGTTTGCCCTTGATTTGTTTCACTAGAAATTACAGGATGATCTCCTCCAATTTTGTCTCTACTAATTGGTCAAACACAGAGCTGCTAAAAACTGCAAGATTTGGAGTGCTCGAAATTTGTTTTAGAACAGGACCTAACAAAGATTACCTTTCCATTTTTGTTCCCTGTCTTCACTTTTTGTAACTTAAAACAATATGAAATCAAATGCAGTTAAAATACTAAAGCTTGTATTGTGAAATTTAAAATTTTTGTTCATTGGTCCTTGCGTGGCCCAATTACATACTGACACACGAGGTTAGGTGGATCTCTTTCTCATTTTAAAATTTCTTTTCTTAGAGTTTTATTTCACATGTAAATACCTCAGTGAACATATGTCTAGATGTGAGAAACTCACCTACATTAGAGATGTCATTGTGGCAGTATCTCAAGTGAATCATGCACTGCCATGCGAGGACACTACTGTAGTGTATCCAAGCATGGTAGTGCATGCTTGATTTGGGATACCTCATTAGAAGATGATCAGAACCTCAGAACACAATAAGGCTGGAAATTCATATCATTTCTAGATTGAAAGTTGAGAACTTAACTCAAAAGGGAAAGGAAAATCTGACTCTGGCAGAAGTGAGACTTTGGGACAAAGTGCCCTTAATCCCAGTGGCACGAATGAAGTGTCCCACAAGGAACCTATTTCTTGTTGGCATGTTATGGCAGAACCCCAACCTGCAAGGCAACCAGATCATACTTTAAGGGAAACCTACCCATTATCCTCTACCTAAATCCGTTGAAACTGAGAGAATGAATGTGCCTTCCTCTCCTTTAATGGGTGCTCCCCATAGCCAACAGAAGTTGAGCAACTGTTGGTTAATTAAGGCCATGGCTTGCGTCCATTTTCTTATCCATATTTTTGTTTCAGTTATATTCAATCAGATGTTTTTTCTTTATGTTTTAAATTTTTAAATGACTAAACAGTTTCAATTTAATATTTAGGATGAAGAACCTAATACTAAATCACATTATCGAGTTAGCCCTAAGACGGATGTGCATTTAAAAAAAAAAAAATACCAGGGAAATTGACCACTATAGAAGGGGGTAATTTAGACATTTCATCCTATCAATATGTTGTCTATATTGTTGTTCGTGTCTATATTTCCATTTTAGCTAATCACTTATGAAATTATAGGATAATGGCCAATTTCCCAAAAAGTCATAAAGGATATGCCCTTTCATCTCGAGTTATAACCCTTTACATCTCCTTATTATTTCCTAAAACTGATATTTTGGTTTAGAATCACCTTATACTGACCATGTACAGTTACACCTCTATAAATTAATAGCCTTGAGACTACAAAAAATTTATAAATTTGGCAAAATATTAAATAATTGGTAAATTAATAAGTTATTAATTTAGTTTCTAACTAACAATTCTATTAGTTTAACAAAGTAAAATTCATGAATCTACTTTCTCAATGAAACAAGTTCGAGGAAGGCGGCCATAGTAACTTAATGGCCCCATTCTGTAGCCGTACGGTGATGCTGACAGTGACACATGTCCAGCAACAACATCATTCTGCGCGTACAAAAGCTGGATTCCCAACTCCTTCACCCGGTAAAAATCACTCATCTCCACCGAAACACGTACACATTCCCTTTCCTTGCTTTGAAATTGCATATGGCAAAGCCACAACACATCTCCATTCTCAGTTGGCAAACCTACTGTGAGTACCGAATGGGTCGACCCAGTACTCCCCCCCATCTCATGAAAAACTTGAACGTGAATCATATTTAGTCCACTGGCTTTAATCTGATGTTCATTTTTGGCATATAAAACAGCTACATTCAAGCTTTTGCCATTAGGATGTGAAGGTGGAATAAATGACAGCACAGGTTTATGTGTTGTGAAGTCAAATCCATCTGGAATCTTGCTTGCATGAAGGAAAATGCTATATGTGCGACCGTGAAAGAATACCTGTTTCATCAGGAATCCACAAGTCAAATTTAATTATTCAAACAGTTAGGCCCAACTAACTCATAGATATAATAATAAATAGAACAACTATACATGAGAAAGGAGACAAGAGAGACCTGGACAGGAACCTTCCTGGTTGTATCGGTCAAGTTGTCGAGCATTTCGTCATCAGTGCTTGCTATGGATTCCATATTGAACAACATCAACGTTTTTTTATTCAACAAGCTTTCAACTTCAATTAACAGAGGGCAACAACCAAAATTCAAATCCAATTTAAACAAGTTCGGTAAATTTGTTAATCTTTTCAATGATTTACAACCATGTGGTACCAACGATTCCAACCTTGCTGGGAGCTCTGGAAGCATTTCGAGGTTTGTGCAATCTTCTAACGAAAGAGTCTCAAGCATAATAAGACTCTTCATGTTTTGTGGTAGGCACAAAATTGGGTTACTATTTAGATTCAAATGCTTCAACGAAGATAGTGTACACAGATCATTGGGAACCTCTGACAGATTGCAATCAGACAGATTTAAGCTTCCCAAAAAACGTGGTAAACTTGCCAGTGAGAAACTGGTTGATTGAAGAGTCTTTCCCGGCCATGCCCACATCCTCCAAGCCCCGATTGGTGTCCATGATAAAGTTGACAACAGTCTAGGTCTATTCATATCCCTAGATATTGCGTGTAAATGAATAACTGTGGCACTGTCATGAAGCACAAGCTTTGAGCAACCGCTAAGATTAAGTTCCTCAAGAGACCTCAACATGATCATTCTTTTTGGAAGCTTCGTAAGGCTTTTGCAGTCTTTTAGATTCAAGAAAACAAGTTTCCCCAAGTTTCCAATGGATTCATCAACATCAACCAAATTAATGCAATCCTTAAGAATTAGTTTCTCAAGGTTAGTGAGCATGGACAAATCAGAGGTTGTCCTAAGGCCATGTGAATGACTGAGATTAAGAATTTTCAATCTTTTAAGATTCTGTATCAAAGAGAGGTCATTAGTTGCTATGAATACAGTTTAATTTCACTGAAATCTATTTTTATTTGTGTGTATTAAGAGAGAGAGAGAGAGAGAGAGAGAGAAATTAGAACATACCTTGGTTCCTCTCCAAACATGTTGCAGACTGCTCTTCCGTAAGTCAAGAACAACTAGATTTCGCAAACAAAAATTGGCTGGTATTGATTTTAAAGAGAATCCTCGCCAAGACAGCAATATTAAATTTTTTGGAAAATCTTCATAGCTTCCACTCAACTTTACATTATCAAGCAGAAGTAGTTCAAGATTGAGCATCTCTGTAAATGCCTTTGTTTCGAAACCTTCCTCATTTAATACTGGGGATGAATCTGTTGAGGGAAAGTTGAGCATGAGGCCCTTGATACTTCTCGTACCCTGCTTACAAATAAGAGGACTGGATAAGTTACTAATCACATGCAGAACACCATTGCAAATATATATAGACAAAGATCATGTATCTTACCGTTAATTTTCTCAAAACGTTAATTGCATCTTTATGCCACAGTCTAGTGCGTTTTCCAGGGTCCTCAGGTGATTCTTCGCGAATTATTGCCCTTCCCATGTCTTGAAGCAATTGATGCATGGTTAACTTGTTGTAGACATTAATTTCCACAAGACATCTATCAACCAGACGTTGAAGTCCAACCTTTGTGGCAAAATCACATTCGTCAAGGATTGTAGTTGTAAAATCCTTGTTCTTTCCCACGAAGAAACAGGCTATATTGAGGAATAAACGTTTATCATGATCTTGTAAAGAATCAAAACTTATGCAAAGAATCTTTCGAATTTTTCCCTCAGTAAACTCGTCTAAGTTGTGTATTGCATTTTCCCATATATCTGCTGTTTTTCCAAATAGAGAAGATCCCAGAACTTTAAGAGCTAATGGAACCCCTCCACAATGTTCTACTATGGGTCTTGAAAGCTCCATGTAACCTTCTTGAGGACGGGGTTGTCCAAAGGCGTGCCAACTGAAAAGCTTAAGTGATTCATCCTCATGCAATCCTTCAACCTTAAACCTTACAACTTCATGAGCCTTTAACAAATGTTCATGCCTAGTTGTTATTATAATTTTACTTCCAGGATAGAACCAGTCTCGCATTCCAAGAATTGCATTGAACTGCTCCGAGTTCTCCACATCATCAAGAACAATAAGAACTCTTTTGCAACGTACAACCCGTTTGATCTTTACTAGACCTTCAGGCCCGTCTATTTTTTCCATTTTCCTCTTTTGGATATCTGAAAGAAGTCTCCTTTGCAAGCGAACAAAACCATTGGCTTGTCCGGAAGTTTCCCTAATATCTGAAAGAAAGCTGCTAGCTTCAAATTTATTGAAGTTCTGGTTATAAGCAATTTTAGCAATGGTGGTCTTGCCTATTCCACCCATTGCATGGATGACAGCTACTCCAACATCATTTGATCCATCTTCCAGCCACATGTTTAGTCTTTTCACATGATAATCTCTTCCAATCACATAGGGCTCAACTCTTAGTCTCCAATTTGTCATGTAGTCCAGTTTTTTTCCAACAGCTTCAACAATTTCTTGGATAAACTGCGACTCGTACCTATATGTTATTGATATAAAAATATATCATACAAAAAGAAAAAACACAAGCAAGTTATTTATTTATTTTTTCAAAAAAAAAAAAAACTAAAATTTTCACAAGCTTGAGACTAGCATCTGATCTACTTGACTGAATATAGGAGAGAATGAAAATTACCGGTCTTTTAAAACCATCCCTCCCAAGTCTGCAACATCTCTAAGAGCTCGCCTCCACTCCTCCACCTTGTCTATCTCGTCCTTGAATTGTTCTTGATGTCTAGTAAATGATTCTGCAAAACTGCCCGTCTGCTTCCTGACATCTGATGGTTCCACATAATAGAAAACTGGGATAACCATGTGTCCATCTGTTCTTTTACGTTCCATGATGATAGCAAGTTCATTCAGGCACCACCTGGAAGAGGCGTAGTCCTTGGAGAAAACAATGATTGATACTTGTGACTCTTGTATTGCTGTCTGTAGCTCCTGTGCAATGTTTTCTCCTCTCTCAATTTCATCATCATCCCTAAAAGTGTGGATTCCTGCTAACTTCAAAGCATTGTAGAGGTGATCTGTAAAGCCCTTGCGTGTATCTGCGCCTCTGAAACTCAAGAATGCATCATATGTGCACCGGTTAGAAGACGAAGAAGGATTCTGCTGCTCGTTGCTCATTGCAGCTATTGAATAGAGTCTATCTGTAGCAGTGAATGCATGAAGAAGAGTTATTATATACAAATTGGAATGCAAATTGAGAATATATTCTCCAGCTACCAAACATATCGGATTTTACACTGAGATGCAAATGATATTACAGGTCTAATTTTGGAAATATGTAGGAAATGATAAACATAATAATAGTACAAGAGACCAATTATTGGTTACCAAGTCACAAGGCAAATTCTTCTTAGTTGTAAAATGTGAATAGAAATCGCGTTGAAACATTGGCACGGCATTTGGGATCTCAAAAATTGATGCAAAAACTAATAAGTTGGAGTCTCGAGTAGCACTCAGAAGGAAAAAATAAAAAACAAATTGGTGTCTAGTAAGAATAATTCGTCATGCAAGAATATTATTGGTTATTTTATTTCCTTTTTTTTTGTGTGGTAAAAATGGACTAAACTTTTGTTAGAAATGTACATGTAACTTGGCTCTAGTATGCTTACTTGTATTAGGAATGAAGGTCTGATTCGAGATGGAATTTTTCAAATACTCTCTAAGTTTTAGTGAGGAGCTCATTTAGGGCTCTTAACCACCAAATAATTTAGGGGGGGGGGGGCATTTTGATCTAGATGCTCGGTTTTTGAATTTCTTAGACCAAATATCTAAGGGTTTTTTTTCAATATATTGTTAATTTATATCTTTTTATTTCAATATATTTCAAAAGAATAAAAAACAATAAAAGTTCTATAAAAACAAAAAAAGTTGAATTGTTTATCAAAAAAAATCAAAAGTGATATTTTAAAAGTACCAACGTACTTTAAAATTCTAAACGATATTATATATATATATCAATGCTTTTATTTACTAAATGTAACGTGTCAATAATTTAGTAGGTTATTGGCATACTATGTAATTCAAATTTGTGTACAAATTAGTTTTGGTATGTTATGTAATTTTTATTTAAATACATAGAAAACTATCGGTACATTTATATTATCATAAATTTGGTATGTAAAAAGCTAACGACACATTAGAGCAGTTACACCGTGTCTAAGGCCCCATAGGGCTATCAAATATGCTATCCATCCAATAAACAGTAATTGTCTTTAATAAACAGTAACCACATTTTGCATCTCTACCCCTACAGTAAATAGCTGGCAATTAGTAATAAAATATTAGTATTTTTTTATTTATAAAATAATACAAAATAATTTTATTGTAATTTTGGATAAAATTTTTAATCGTTGCGTCACGCGTTATTATTTACATTATGGTCAGCAGACAAGTTAAAGAAATTAAGCAAGCAACCTAACTACACACTTCAAAAAAAAAATATTGAAACTCCACAAGCAACCACAAAAGCCAGAAATTCAAATATACAAAGGAAATGCAGGAAATTAATAAAGGTTTAATCAGTCAATACGCACAAAGCAAGATCCAAAAAAAATACCCATTTCAAAAACCCTAGAAATCCGAACCCAGATGGAAAATGCGACCATAAAAGACATCAGAGACGGAATATACCATCATCGAAGTCACTCTCGTCGCCGTCGTCGGCTTCGTCAGCGACGTCTTCGAAGAATCTAAGGACGCCGGGGTTGCTCTTCTTCCGGCCACCACCGGACTTGTCATCGTGCTTACGCTTCCCGCCGGAGAATCCACCTCCTGCGGCGATCCCCTTACCCTTCGACGCCATCACAATGTGAAGGTTTCAGAGAAGGAATGCCTCAATCGCAGGCAGCGAGAGAGAGAGAGGTGCCACTGACGTCGCCCGACGTCAGCCCACGTCAGACAGCCTTCGACGTCGCCCTGACGTCAGCCCACGTCAGACAGCCTTCGGGCGCTCGGGCCGGCACGAATCCACGGGCCTCTCCCTCGGGCCTGCTAGGGCTCGCTCGCCAGCACACGCTGGGCTTTCATCACTCGGGCATTCAAGCCCTGTTCGTCAGCCTGTCCCTCGGGCTGGAGCTGCTCTTATGTGTAATCCTAAAAGAAATTCATATTAAAACTTTATACAAAAATATATTCCATCAATTTTTAATAAATTAATTATTAATATAATGACTCATATTTATTTTAAGAAGAAAAAAGCGAAAAGGACTAGATCATTTTTCATGAAATGGATTTAGTTCACGTTTTGAAAAGAAAAAAAATTGAAGTCTTACAAAATAATTTCCATGAATTTAAAGCCTTTAGATCTTAGTTTTAATAGGAAAATATTAAAAAGAAAAATAAAGATAAGAAAGCAAGAGGATCCAAAGTTAATGCATTTGACTCATCGGCCATGAAGATTTCAATTGAAAGTTAATAATACAAGCAGATGTATGTTTTCACAAGAGGGGAGCTTGGAGGTACCTCGCACACACCAGAGTTGTGTATTGTAAGATGCCGAAAGCTGTTGGATGAAAGTCCCAACTAGTTTCTTCAAAAAGACACTGTGAAATGGACGATTTCACAAATCAAATTTTGCTCACTCACAACCTTAAGTTGATAACTATAGTTCCTCTCCACCATGCTCAAATTTTCAAGGATCTGAACAGGCGTAGGTCTTAAGAGTTGATGAAGAAGAGGAGGTGGGAGATGCTACCAGAGCAGCTGAAGAAGAAGGACGAATCTTTTGCTTTCTCTTTTCTTCTCCTTTTTGGTATATGAGGGTGAGGAAAAGATGGGGAAAAAGAAAAGGAAAAAAGATAGAAAAAGAAAAAGAAGAAAAAGTGGTGGTATGTTTGAGGTCCACACGGAAAAGAAAAAATTGGAAATTGGTTGAGGTTTTGGCCCACACGTTTGTGTTTTGTGAAGTCTTTGAGGCCGACGCGAGTTATTGGCTTGTTTGGGAGCTTCGAGTGAAAGTGTTGTTTTTGTTTATTCATTGCTGTAATTGAAATATGAAAATCTTATTTGTCTAGTGACGGTGAGCACTCATTTACCTTCTTTTTATACTCTCAACATCATTATGTCTAAATTAAAATTTACTTGTTGGCAAACTCATGTCATATATCCTTTTGAATTTGACGAGTGTTGAAAAATTAATTATTTGATTATTTGGTTTTGCTGGTTAGTTTATGATTTAGGCTTATCCTATTTGAATTAGGGTTTCTTAGATTTTGCTCCCCACAAATGTAGTTTGTTTAGATGGATAATAAGTTGGTATGTAGTTGAGTGTAGTCATCTCGACAATCCTGTTTCTTTGTTGTTTTGTTAGTCAAATATATTCAATAATTTGTAATCCGTTTGTTCGTATGTTTGTTATTTGTAATCTGTTTCTGCTGTGGAAGACATAAATTTCAAAAATTAAACTTATCAAACTGTAATAAAAATATTGTGACCATCACCATTACTTGAGAGCAGTGAGTAAAAATGCCTCGAACTTATCCTGATGTATGCTATCCACACACTTTTAGCTTGATATATGTCCTCTCACATAACTCTAGTTAACTTTTATCATTATTAGTATTTTATGTCATAAAAATTCTAAAATGTAACCGTACTATTCTCTCTCGCTCCTTCTCCCATCTCTCTCCAATCTCCTCTCTGTTATTTGAAAAATATTGCTAGTCCAAGATCCCAAAACATCTAAATTGGGGTGGATGCACAGATGTGTAGGTGTGAGTAAATAATGAGAACTGACCCCAGCCCACCTACCCCCACCCGAATCATGGACAAATCTCACGCCACTTGGTCTAAAGTTTCGTCTGGAAGTTAATGATGAGTTTAATTTTTCTTATTTTTGTTTGATTTCGATGAGGTCCGCATGCAAAGAAAAAGATATGACTAAAACAAAAAGGAAAAAGAGAGAAAAAGAAAAAGATGAAAAAGTGTGGTACGGGTTCTTGAGTATCTCAGGTCCCTCGTTAGGTCATCCCCAAGTTAATTTGGCATTTTTCTAATATTTTTCTCACCAGCTGCTGCTAGTCGTGCAAAAATTAAGAAAGCATGAACCTGAGCTGCTACCCACATTTGGTTCACATGTATTGCTCAAATGAGTGATCTAGAACATCACAAATACTACAGGCACCAATTTGTTCGTTGTAGATCAATGAGGTTTCTAGTGAGCATAAACATAAAAAACCAATTATATCACCTTAATTGGGATTTAAAGTTAGGATATAATTTTGGGCCACTAGGATTATTGTCTGGAGTAGTACTATAGTAGAAAAAGGCAGAAAAATATTAGAAAAAGGCCAAAAAAGAACAATAGGATTTAAGTTTTGCGGACTTTCTCTGAAAATATAGAAAAACGGAGTTAAAGTCCGCCATAAAAGGACTAAGCCATAACATATGAGAAGTTAAACGACTCAACTCTAGCATAATTATTTCTGATATAGCTGACTCTTTTTGGTACTTAAATATTTCTCAACTGTTATAGTCCGTTTACAGTTATTGCTTCTGTTAACATGGTAGCTAAAACAATTATTAGGCAATGCAGGTGCTCAAGATTCGTTTGTAAGGAGTTTTGGAGGGAAACTAACTGTAGGATTTTCAGAAACATATGTTGCCCCACTGCTGTTACGCTCAAGTTGGCTTTGCTCTATAGGGGGTTTAAAACTTCATATGCAAACTCTGTTGGAACAGTATTAGAAAATATGAAAATAATACAAGAATTCTAATAATAATAATAATCACATAGAAATTCACGACATCAATTATGTATGAGATTAATATAAACAACTAAAGATAAAGTTAGAAAAACTGATAAACCTGGAGATTGAGGCTTTCATGAATGTAATGTCCTAAAGATAGAATATCGCTCATACTCTTGTGCTTGTAGTTTGGTAGTTCGGTAGGTGTCTATCTCTCAGGATTCAACAATCTATAATCCGAAGTCAAAACACTTCAATCTTTGAACTCTGACGAACTTTATATATTCCGTACTCTCAAGACACGACTTGGAATTTGACACACAAAGCATGAGAGAAACAAAGTGGGGAAACCCTATTTCTCAAGAGTAAAAATTAACTCTAATTTTCTATATTTAATGATAATGGTTTCATGAGTTTAAATAGAACCCAAGTACTTCTTGTTAGGAGATGTAACTTTTCATCTATAAGTATACATTATTTAACAAGGGAATGCACCTAAATAACATAACATTTCTAAGAAATATGGTTAACACTATTTTTTCATTCAATTATTAAAATTATATATTACAATATTTTATACTATAATATATAATTTCCAACAAACTCATGCAGACTGTTCCGGTTTTTTTTCCTTGATTGCTCTTTATGACAATAAGCAAAAAGCGCAACAAATCCAACAAAGCCATGAGTATATACTCAGAACGAGAACAAGAAAGAACAAAAACGACGATACTCACCAAGGAAAATGATGCTGGTCTTTCTTTCCAACCATAAATGAAATGACTGATGTGATGTTGACAAAGAACTGAGGATGTTTCTCTTCATTTTCGCCAAAAACAGATTACGAGAAGCAGATGGGGAATCTGCTGGACATCCTCTCGCAATATTTTCCAATGGTCCTTGGGCCTTGAATAAGTTGTGAACCATTGAACCTGAGCCTGATGAGTACGGTGCCTATGATTACTGAGAAAGTATTTTCCTGTCCACATTTGGTACTCTTATGCTGACATTGACACATCTCCAGCAACAACATTATTTTGGCTAGATGGAGATCTTTCGACACCAGTGCTTGATATGGATTTCAAACTGCACAGGCCCATATATCTTGTCATTTCTATGTCAGCATTTCTCAGCGGTTTTATATTCAACAAGCTTTCAACTTCAACTAAATGCTCACAACCCCAAAAAAGTGATTCCAATGATCTGAATAAGTTTGGTAAATTTCTTAATCTTTTCAATGAAGTACAATATTTTGCTTCTAACCTCTTCAACCTTGGTGGGAGCTCTGGAAGAATTTTGAGGTTCGTGCAATTATCTAACAAAAGAGTCTCAAGCATAATAAGACTCTTCATTTTTTGTGGTAGGCACAAAATTGGATTACCAATTAGATTCAAATGCTTCAACAAAGATAGTGTACACAGATCATTGGAAACCTGACATGTTGCAGTAAGACAAACTTAAGCTTCCCAAAAAAGGGGGTACACTTGCCAGAGAGAAACTCGTTGATTGAAGAGTCTTTCCTGGCCATGCCCACATCCACCAATACCTAATTGGTGTCCATGGAGAAATTTTTCCACGTGACGGGTACATTTGCTGACCCGGTGTTCCACCTATTAACATCTGACATCTAGGTTGACATCATCTTTTATAATGACAATTAACATTTATTTTAAGAATATAATTTAAATTAATTAAATGAAGAACACAGATTCCTCTCTTTTCCATTCTATTACGCCCCACCCGCATCCATTCCACCCTTTTCCATCATCTGTTCATGTTTTTTTTGTTTTTTCTTTCTCTGATAAAACTTGTGAATTTGATTGTTTTTGTTGGGGTTTGATTTGGATTTTTGATTAAGTGGTGGTGAATTTTGATGGGTTTTGATCAAAAACCCAAAATTGCATCAACCCATCACCGAAAATGGCCACCACCCCATCCCCATCACTGAAAATGCCATAAACCCACTTAGGAGTCTTGGGGCTGGCAAGCCTGCCATCATCTCCTGAAAGCGTCTTCGTCGACATCGGAGAAGTTCTCGAAATCGTCGTAATTGTCCGAATCTGAATGGTGCGGCGCTGTGGTCGGTGGGTTCCTCGAGGAAGCTGAAATCTTTTTCGTCGTCGTCAATTGGAAGTGAGTCGCCGTTGGGTTGGTGGGATCGGCCGCTGGGAGGGTGACTTTACACCTTCTACAAGTTTTTTCTTTTTCTTTTTATTTTTTATTAAACAAAACTAATCTATGCAGCTGTATGTGGCATCATGTAATTGGAGGGGAACTCCAGCTCAACAGTTGTACCGGTCATCTGGAAAATTTTCTCGTGTCGATGATATAATTGATAACAGTCTAAGTTTATTCATATCCCTAGATGTAGAATGTAAATGAATAACCGTGGCACTGTCATGAAGAACAAGCTTTGAGCAACCAGTAAGAATAAATTCCTCAAGAGACCTCAACATGTTCATTCTTTTTGGAAGCTTCATAAGACTTTTGCAGTCTTTTAGATTCAAGAAAATAAGTTTCCCCAAGTTTCCAATCAAATTAATGCAATCCTTTAGACTATCTCCAACCTTGGGCTAAATGCCAAATTTCTCCCCCCAATTCCCCTCCCCCAAAATCCAATCCAACCCAAGCCAAATCTTTGGGCTAAAAGCCAAATGCCAATTGAGGGCCAAATTCCCCCCAAGAAATAGCCTACAAACGTGTTGACTCTCTCTTTCCCAGCCCACTTTCGGCCCGGTCACTCACACCACTCGCCCCACGCGGGCGTTAGCCTTCAGCGCCCGACAGAGTGGGACCCACTGTCAGGGCTGCTGTCGGAAGCAATTATAAGCCCAACGACTCTTTTGTTCATCGGACGGTTGACATTATTGGACCGTTGGTTGATCCAACGGTCCAGATTCAAATTTAATTTTTTTTAAATGTTATTTTAAAATACATTGAATCCAACGGCTGAGATCGAATATAATCAAATCTAATGGTAAAAAAAAAAAGATCTAATGGCCCAAATTTAAATCCAACGGCTAAAATAATTTAAAAAAAATGAAGGCTTGCTTTGTGGAAAAATTTAGTGATTTTTCAATATTTATCGGAAT